GTTACTCTGACGATGGAAACAAGCGAGTGTCCAAAACGTCAGTCCCAATATAACTCGGTCAATGCCCCTAACCTTCTTCTTCGTCTTCTTTGGGGATGATGAAAACGATTCGTAATTCGATTATGCAAAGTTTCTAAGGTTGGCCTTAGGCGGACCTTGCGATGTACTTGTGCTGGAAATGTTACTCCAGTTTGACGCGAAATCAAACAGGCGACCATTTTCAAATTAAGTGCGAAATCGACCAGTTGACATACTGAACTCGATGGTTACTCGATGGCAACTAAGGTGAGCATTTCTAAGCACGCAGGTCGAGGTTAGTTCGTACCTTTTTCCATCATAGCTTGATCAAATTGATCCATGCCCTCTCCCTTGGCCAATTCCTGTTGGGCGAATTCCCAGTCCACCTTCTTCTCCTTGTCCAGGGCAGTTTGCTTGGGATTGTGAAAAACATACAGGTGGTACGAACCTAAAAGACATCAAAAGGGTATATTGCATTTCACAAAGAGGCAGGGCGATGACCTAGAGACAACGAAAATTACCGAATAATATTCGATCGGTAGGTTCAAGGATCTTGGACGAGATCAAGGCAGTTCCGTTGACTTTCGTGTTCTTTAGGGCTCCCTGCTCAACGACCAGCTCAATCTGGCCATTTGGAAGTCTGCGAAACCTGGCATGCCTGTCTTGAATGTTGAGACCCTTGAGTAGTATCCAAGTCTTCTTGCCGGAGACCTTGTCTATTGCGTCCTCAGCAGTCTCTGGATTCCCTGGGGCGCCTTGACGCCCGACGGCCACCTGAGGGAGAAACGTAAACGATTTAAAAAAACTGTCAATTAAAATTCGCCCCCATTGAGCGGCACCCAGAAGCTATCCTTACCGTTTACTTTTACGTGCTCGATTTTAAAGGATAAGGTAAACGATAACAATGGTTGCAATGGACTTGAAATGCCTTGAGGACAGATTTAGGATTGCAAATATTCTAATAGGTCAGGTCACCGTCGCGCTTTTTAAAAATTGGCAAGGAATCTAGGAATATAATTCACGCAAACTACGGGTTACCGCTGTAGTTAGTTGGGGAGCTGTCAAGAGCAGGTGCAAGTACCTTTAAGTCCAGAAAAATGTGCTCCATTTGGACAAAAACGGTATGTTCCATAAGTAAAGAAGGAGAGGATCGTTCGTTCCTCGGAAAAATAGCTTTATTCATCTGAGTGTTCGACCTCCAACTGGACTCTATAGTCAAAGGTAAAAGGGTAGGGAACTATAGCGGGGTGCTTGGAGGGCCAAAATGTACAATAACTGCTTACTGAAAACTTCCAAGTAGGGTGAATTTTACGTTATCTTCCAATTTTTCGCTCGCCGGCCGTTGGTTCAGTGGACTAAAGAGGAATCCTCGGAAAGGTAACACGCATAATAACCGCGTAAGTCAGTTCATTAGGCAAACTGTGTTTTCAAATTACCCATGGGAATAATCACTTCCTTTGAAATTTTACGTAGAGTGAATTTCCATTGCTTTTCAAATTCTCGCCCGCCGGCGTTGATCTCGTTGGCTTGGTGATGATATTATAAAATGTACCTGGGTGACCTAACCCAAGGTCGGCAAACATCCCCCAACATATACGCACTCGATATTGGTCCAGTAGGGGGTACTGATGATAGCAAAATGTACCCCAGTGACCTCGCGCAAGTTCAGCGAATACCCCCAACTTAATTTACATGATTATTGCGCCCTGATTTGTCCCTCAATATTTCCCACCCATTCTGTCCTCTAAAACCAAGTGCCCCTATTGGAGTGGAGGGCGCTTCGCGCGCATTTTGGGGACCCCACGATACTCCCTTACCGATAAAAGCGGCAAAAGATCAAGTAAAAATTATAGAAAGTAGAAGCCAGGGAAACCCTAGTCTGGAAGTGACAGCACAGAGTTCCATATACTAGTGCCAGTTCAATAAATCGATCGCCTGAGTCCTCATCGAAGGCCATTCTTTAATAAATTCCCGGCCTGTCTTCCTTCATTGCGGCCACGAAGTTAAACTCGGTCAGAGAATAAGTGCACTGCGTCTGGATTTGCTCGTAGGGAAGTAAGTGGCCTTGGGTGAAGTGCGGAGGATTGAAAAAAGATGCCGGACGCAGTAAAGATACGTAGGACCAGTGCTCCAGGATCCTTTGCCTTTTTCCGCAAACTGTCTGTGCATTTTCGCAGTTTAGAAACATATTCTTTGCTAAAATATTCTTTCGTTCATGAACGGGACGTAGAGCTAGAACGGTTTCTCGTCCTATCTAACTACGGGTTATCGTAACGTCGTGCGCAATGTCCAGTAGCAAAAAACGTTCTTTAATCCGCAGAAAATCGACAACAATAAGGATTATTTCGAAGCTAATCAAATGGAAATTACATGCACGATTCAGTAAAACTAAAGCTATGATTCGAATCCTGTTGGTGTACTACATCCGGTTGGCATTTGCGCACTCTTCTACAATGTTACGGGATAAATCAAATAAAAGCTATCCCAAAGAAAAGAACAATTAGACCCCCTGTCAGAAAACCTGCCTCGTCAGCCTCTAGAAGGTGATTGATAACACCCGAAAGTTGTGGATCCTCGTTGAGGTTTGAGATGTAGGGACAATATATGCGCGACTTTGAGTCCTTTTCCGACTTCACGTTGCCAAGGGCCTCCTTGAGAATGACAGCTTCTCTTCGGGCTTCTTCCAGCTACAGCATCAAAAAGGAGGCAGTTTTGGAATGTGGTCAAAGATCTCGGCAAAGAAGGATATTAAGATAGGGGCCGCGACGTTAAAACGGAAACTACAGAGTATCCACAGCGCATGTCTGTTTAATATACAACAGGGAAAACATCGTGCTTATGAATAAGGAGGCGCAAGTTTTGCGTAAGAAAGCTCCTTGTTGGCTCTTTTTCCCCGTCTGATGTTGAGGTGAAGATCAGTAGGTTTGAAGGAACAGAAGATTCGTTGATAAAAACAGAAGATCCGAGGACTGGATTCGCCTATCTATAGCTCTAATTATAAAAATAGCGTCTCCTCAATTCCTAGGTTAGTCGGCACGGAGGAAATGCGTATTTATTTACTATCCACTGGGGCATTTAGCTCATTTTAAAGTCGCATTGATTTTGAATGCGATGGTTCCTACCTATTTTGGTCGCCTAATAACTACATCGCAACTGCCCACCCTCTTAAGAGTGAAATCCTGCTGTTTCTGTTTGGAGGGCCAAGTCCTGCCACCCCCACTCCCGCACCAGCGAACTGATCGACACAGGTAGTAACTGAGATCGGGGAAAAGATGATAGAGAGTGAGGTAAAGGTCTCAGTTCATTCTTCTCTCGTTAAACAGCTTGACGCATTTAAAGCTATTAATGTGCGCTAACGTCGTGTGTTGCAATGCTGCCAAGGAGGGAATAATTCGGAGCTTGTGCGCGGAACAGTGTATTTTCATGTGTATTTGTTGACCGGGAGACTGAGAGTTAGGCTGCAATGGCGTTTTCATTACGTGGACTTGATGGCATCCTGAAAGCTTAGAAGACTGTCCGGCCGCATCGGCCTCTCCGGCCATTGCTCGAGGTGAATTGGTAACAAAACTGGTCCCAGGTGGAGGGAAGAAAGGTAGGTGCATCACAAGTCAACTCACATTTTAAACTGCATTGCGGACATCATCGGCCCTCCGCAACCATGCTGCTTGTCTCTCTTTGAGCATTCGAATGATCATGCCTCGCTTCGAAAATAGACAAGTCTGTTTACATATTGCAACAGAGATTAACTTGTCGTAATGATGCGGATTTCGGGTACATTTTGGGGGTAAAAAATAGGAAACTTGCACAACTAGCAAGCCAGAGGGTTTTGTGAGATTTCCCCTCCACATAGTGAGCCAGTAGAAATGTTCGATTATTAAACTGCTTAGCTTTTTTAGTTATTATGCTTCATCTACTTTGTAATTAAAAGTAGTCCGTAATAACAGCAGCCGGCCCACACTAACATTCGTCAACTCAGACAGGCCTGCGCGGCGTACAGGAACAGAAACCTCAAGGCAAGGACAGTTTTATGTTTGGAAGATGTGTTACCTGCGTCGAAAGTTTTTTAATGACCGTCTTGGAGTTTAGCCTACCTTTTTAAGGAATGCATTCTGATTTTGAGTTTCAAGCTGTTCAGAATTGGCCTGTAGTTGGGCTTGAATCTCGCGTCGCATTTCCTCCTGCATTCTAGCACGTTCTGAAGAGAAGCAACGTAAATGTTTTAAGAACGGCGAAAAATGTCAGGTATCTGTCTAAAATAGGCTGTTAAAAAGGAAAGGAAGCAGCAATTAATCATAGCAAGCATTTAGGTATTGCCGGAGGATAATGGATCTTTAATAAGATCATCTTAATCTGCGTTCTCACTGGAATCTACGCCATGACGTTAAAAGGCTATGCTGCCAACACAGAACCGATAGCACCGGTTGGGAAGCCGACGGTAACCGTATCGCGTCAATTAGTCTGTACTTCAGTTGGCTTGATTTAAATACTCGAATGTCAGAAAATACTCATGTCCAAATTTAACGCAGGTTACAAATCTCGTCAGAAGAGAGAGACGTGGGACTCTACTGCGCTTGTGCTAAGCCTGACCACCATCTTGGAGCAGAAAAGTGTGTTGCACCAGGCTCTACGCAAACGCGATGGCTTGCGCTGGATTTTAATGAGAATAGACGTGCGACGCACCCACCATACTCTATCACCACTCTCCTAAAGAGGCCCAGTGTCAAGACAAAGCAAAAGATACTGAAGAGGTCAAGGAGGAATAAACACGAGCACATACACAGCATGG